GTGCGTATGGGTATAGCGATATATCTATATATCTCTATGTCAATAAATATGGGGATATATCAGCCATCTCTCCTTCTATGCACACACACACACATATATATATATATATATATATATCTATCTATATATAAATATATATATGTATGGCTAAATTTTCATATATATATAAATATATATATATATATATATATATATACTCTATATTTCCATGGATAGAAAGACAGACAAATAGATACCACCTCATGCACTCAAGCATAAACTTAAACACAGAGATAACTGTGGTGTAAACACAGATAAGGTGAATGAATGCAAACATACAACAATAAAACAGCGACAGATGCTGTCATTTGCTCAACACATCAACCTTTAATGTCAGTAGTTCGTTAATGACTGCTTTCCAAAGCCAAACCCTCACATATAGTTTTATAGTCTCATTAAAAATTGTTCACAATAGTAAAACTGCAAGTGGATTAGAGAGCAGAATTGATTTTTTCGAAATATTAAAAAAGTCACCAAAAGCCTGTATGACATGCATGGTTTGCATGAAACGTGTTTCTATGTAGGTTTGTGTGTCTTTGATCAAGAATGAATGCTATGTGTCAGGATGTAGATGTGTGTTTGTGAGCGTGAGTGATAGGGTGTGTGTTAGTTTAGATAAAACAGTTAATCCCCAGGCCACCAGAACGCAATATCCTGTCTGCCCGTTTCTCATTTCCTGTCTGACTCTGGTGGAGCGGGAAGCAGCAGGGAGGGGCTGGTGGGGGACAGTGGGGTCCGTTGCCTCAGAAACAGAAGATACAGCAGACTGGTTAGAGAAAAGTCTATGCCAATCTCTCTATCTCTCTCTCTCTCTCTGATGCAGCCCCCTATTCTCACTCTTTTTTCCTTCTCCCTCTCTGCCTTTATTATCTCAGATTTAATAAAGCTGAAGCGAGCAGCTTGTTCTGCCATGAAACATTTATTAGCTGTCTGTTATAAAATTGTTGTGGGGGAGGAAAGATGATGGGGTCTCATCTCACATTATGCAAAAACAGTGGCAATACCAGACGCACGACCCCTTCCACAGACATACACACAAACACACAATATACCAGATAAAAATCAGCCCATCAGTATGCCCTTTCTAAAACTCTCAGATATTTCCTCTTTTCTCTGTTTCCCATTTTGAACCTGTTCTCGATCACTTGAAGTTTTTGCTATATGTTCTTTTACTCATTTTATCAGAACTGATATTAGTCAACAGCACATCATCAAAACAAAACAAAAGACATCAAACTCGCTCATCCCCATTTTGTTTTCTTCTGGCAAACATCCAACCATCATCTGTTGAACTGTTTTGCTCAGGAAAGAGCATTGTGGTGCTTGAAAACTGCAAAAATGCCTATGAATGTAATATTTCGATCCCTTCACATGAGTTTATATATAAATGTGAAAAGGTTTTTTGGAAAATATGTAATGGTGTGCACAAAGACACCTTTTTCTTTCTTTTTTTTTTTTTACTTTTGCACTAACTTTCTCTTACACTAAAGTTTAGAAAACACCACCTTTTGATTTAAGCACATTTATTTGATTAGGGAGAAATATTTGCTTTCAGCAAAATTTGAAGTGGTACAAGTGTGGCTACCCTCGCTGTTGAAACTTTGCATTACCCCCCCTTTGCCGACAGGATAGAACTTTGTCTTCCCCTTTAACATTTCACAAGTCTGCAGAATTTAGAGAAAGGGATCTTTAACCATTCTTCATTACACACACTTCCTAGATTGAATAAAATTGTGGTTCTTCTCTTATGATTTCTTCTATTTTGCTTAATCTACATGTTTTCTTTTGGATTTACATCTAGTGACTGATATGATGATGAAAGAAGGTTTTTTTTTTTTTACACTATTTTTGTGTTTATTAGGGCATATGTGTTGGCCAAATTACCCATTTTTGGTTTACTGGCAAGAAAAGGCCTTGCAAGATTAACAAGGTTTTCAGTGTCTTTGAAGAAACAGGCCCACAGTATCATAGGTGCTGCACCTGCAGTGACTGATGCTGAAAAGCTCAATTGGTGTTTTATCTAACCAAAGCTCACAGTTCCAATACATGTTTATTGTTTATGTTGATGAAATAGAGGGGTCCTTCCCTGACATTCAAAAAGTTCTTGTCGTGCAGCTAATGTCTAAAACTTGCTATGGAGACTTGGTGACCCTCAAGATGTCGAGATGTTCTGTTTTCCAAAAGTGATTTTACTTCCCAGTGCATCGCAGTGCATGGAAAGATAAATATGCATCGTTGTCCGGCTGTGTGGCCACTGGCTGACAGAATTGGACGTCGACATATATCATGCCATATTTATAGCCCCAGGAAAGAGAAAGATACTTTTCTAAGCTGGTCAAACAAGTCATATCATTTAACATTTATTTTAAGGAATTGCTGAAGTAACCAAATATTGAGGCTCAGGGTTTTTTTTTTGGAAAAAAATGTTAATTTACATGAGTTACATGAGACTCATCCCATCTTTTTTCAGACATTTTAACAATCTTTATTAGCGATGATAATAAATTTATCCACGTCTGCAAACATTGCAGTTCTGACATGTCAAAATCAGTCATAATTTACCCATTGAATAACATTCAATAAAAACATTAACTTTTAGTTGTGCCCTGTAAGGAACTTTTTTTGTTTTTTATTTATTACAATAATATCAGTTCTGTTTGGCTCACTATCTTTTACTACGTTGATAAATAAAACATTTAGTTTCAGATAATTGGATGATTCATGTATTTAAACGTATCTGTTTTTTAACACCAACATTAAAACTACTTGAATTTTTAGTTTTTTTAATGAATTATAGTTATGGGCGGCTGGAAATAACAAATAAAAGTGTTTTTAGTTAAACGTTTCTGCCTAAGCACATTTAAAAATAATTTAAAGCATATGATTTTTGTTTAATAATCATTGTGGAGGCCGACAGAAATAAACCTTTGTGATCTGTTTGACGTATTACATAATTTTGTGTTAGTATTTCACAGCAACACACAGTCAGATCTGTCACCCGGGCAGCCGGAGATTTCAATAATTAGTACAGAACCCAATCATTCTCGCCACAATTTCTTCCCTTTCGCCTCCTGAGACACAAGGCAGCGAGTGTGGTGCGGGTGGTGGGGCGATTAAGAGAAAACAAGGGATAAATGGGGAGATAAACTGTTTGGTGTCATCACTGCTATCAATCTCAACAAGAAGGAAATGAGGTTTGGTATACAGAAATATTATTACAAAGGAGACAGTGATGAATGAGGTAATGGATCAAGAGACAGGGAGAGGGATGGCTGATGGGGTGGAGGTGTTGAACGGAAGATGAAATATATTTGCAATCCCTGGATTCAGACTCAGAAGTTCACAAAAAAAAAAAATACACTCAGCAGAACTCTGTTTAGACACTTCATAGTATAGTTATGTGCAGTATATAATTATGCATATTTTAAACTGCAGACAATATTAAACATTTAAATTTCTCTGTGCCTCCCAACCCACATTGCATGGCATTAGTTAGTATCTGCACCAGTCTCCCGCTTGGTGAAGCTGTTTTTATGGTTTCATAGAAGAGTTTTCTAGGTCCTGCATTGCCAGACAGCAGTCTTATTGAGACAAAATTGCTAAGGTTGGAATACTCTGCTTCCAATCATAATACCTTAATTTGACCTATCGATGTTATTTACTATAGTTTTCCAAACCAAATATTAACGATGCAATCTATTTGAAAGGAATTTTTTACTGTCTATAGCAAAAATAAATGTACAATAAACCTTGAATACAATATGGAATAGAAACTATTTTCATACTTCTGTGCTGTACTCGAGCTGTTAAACCTGATTATTAATTTCATCTAGATATTTCCACTGTTGTGCTGAAGCCTTACTTTTGCATTTGGAGCTTTAAAGCAACTATCTTAGAATAATTAGAGAGGGAGTCCTTCAAAAATATTAAAAATGCAAATGCTGAATTAGGTTTCGCCTTCAGGGAGTTAAGCTGAGATGCATTGTGTGGGAGATGGGCTCATATTTCAATGTAAGATTGGTTTTCTAATGTGAATTGTTGTTTCCTGACATGCTTACTTTTTCATCCCAACCCAGTAATTCTAAATCTGGTCTACTGCTCTCATCCTTCCACATGCAAGTTTTACATTTAGCTGAGTTCTAAAGAAAATAAACAATGTTTTCCTCATGGATTATGAGGAAAAGAGTACGTGAGGATGTCCCTCTTAGGGTACGGTACGCTGTGAAGGAGCCGGAGCTTTCGCATGTCTTTGTGCTCAATGACGTAATCAAGCCAGATATGAGCATAAAAATCTCGTAAAGTTTGTAAGATGCTGACTTGATATGAATGTTAAATTAGAATACATAATCTGAATATTACTTTTGTAATTCCAAACATGCAAATATAACTCATAAGTCTGTATCATCATCGAGCAAATGATCTTTCCTGAATCAGATGGAGCACTACCGAAACTGAGTCTCATGTAAAAAGCCGAAAGGGGAAAAAAAAAGAAAAAAAAAAAGCCTGTGTTAATAATTGTGTGAATTCCTCTAAAGTTCTTATGCATTATCCAAATTCCTGGACAACCTTCTCTGTTGCAGTGCACACACCTGCTTTAGATGGGGGAGTGTGTAGTGTAAGGCGCTGATGGACAGTCTGCAGGGAAAACAAGGAGACATTGTTGCTGATCTGCTGAAGGTCACAGACATTACCGTGTGCCAAGTCTGGCACCACCTCACACAACAAGGCAACGCAGCATATGCATAGACAACTAAAACAACGCCGTGACGAATTAAGCACTTACTGTTTATCTGAATCTGCAATTATATTCATTGCACAAGAAAATCAAATTGCCTTTTTCATTCCATCACAGATAATCATGACTCAAATGCAGTTTTGCCTGTACTTTCCCACTCATTTTTACAGACAAACGTCACACAATGGGGCTTTGATCTTCTTCTTTCTCACCCTCTCTCCTCCAGATGCCAGGTACAGTGGGAGAGTCTGTGCTGCTGGATGCCGTCTAACACATTTCAAAACAATGATAACAAGCTCCAGGCTTTTCCTTAAGCTGTCCAAGCAGGAGCTTCCTCTGCAGACACACACTGACTAGCATGGAGTAAAAAAAAAAAAAAGGAAATGACCATGAAAGTATTGCTAAAGCTGAATCATCAAGCAACTGTATACCATCCATTTTATCAGCTGCTATATTTAAAACTATTTTACACTTTGTAAAAGGTTGTCGATGCAAATAAGGTTGTGTATATTTAGGAAATTATTATTGTATACATTTAACAGAAATTTGATTTGGATAGGCAAATTGTTGCCTACGCAAAGTTCAGACAAAATGAATTTGCTGTTGCAAATAAATTAATAATTGTGAAAAGCTTTGATATTGATAGAAGCATTGATCAAATTACAAAAATCTATTTTTTTCTTCATAAAAGGCTAAGATCTTTAAACTGTGTAAGGTTTGAATGCATTTGCATTCAAATTCATTTTACTAAAATAAAGTGATTGATGATTATCTAATTATTATATGTATCTAAATACCTGTGTATATCCCACATACACTCTGATAGTGTCAGCTTCAGTTTTAATTGAATTGAAATGTAAAATTTCCCAACAGCTTGAGTGATTCCAGTGTTGCATGTGTAGTTTTGACCTGTGCCTTTGGTGCAGTTGTTTAGAATAATTGACTTACGGGCCTTATGGGACATCTTAATCACAGGATTTTCTAAACATGGTGGGAGTGCAGAAGTTCAGACCTTTTGCAGAGTTTTCTTATTAATCATATGTTTTGCTCTGAAAACATTAAACAAAAAGTCATTTTTCTTGCAAAACATTCTGGAAGCATTTCTCTGACGGAGACAACAATTAACCAAATCATCAGCACAGGTTAATGTGACATTTTTACGTTGTTCTTTCTTTTTCCTGTGCACAGCTAGTGAACCTATCCCTGGCTCCCTTTGCACCGACTTCCACTGATTATGCACAACCTCTACGAACCCTCCCTTCGACTTAACCTCAAATCCTACCTTAATACTAACCAGAACCTGAACACATGGTCTCATTTGCACCGGGGTTTGACCCTCAACGTCAGAGATCACACGAGAAAACTGTAGGCGATATGTAAATCAAAAGACACCTGAAGTCAATTAAAAAAAACAACAAAAAAACAAAACACTGAGTGTACATTTATAAGTGGGCCGTTTCCAAAGAATAAAGAAAACAGTATTTTTTAAAAGAACGCTTAGTTAGGGAATTGATTTTTCTCATCTTAATGTGTTGATAAATGCGCCTTACTTTTCATAGTCATGCTTGCAGTACAGCAGACGGTCCCTGCAGTAACAGGTCCCGGTGAGTGCGCTCAGACAGACGGCGCACTTGACGCAGGTCTCGTGCCAGGACCGCTCGTTCACGCGCAACAGGAAGCGGTCGGCGATGGGAGACTCGCAGCCCGCGCACACTTCTCCTCCTCCTCTGAAATCTGGACCTGATGGGAGCATATCACTGCCACAGTTACAGCGAAAAGGCCAGAGCTACTTCTGATATATAAATAAAAAGGCTTAAGCCTATCATCTGGCGCAAGCCAACTGTTCTTTCTCCTGATAAGAAAAAAAAAGGGAATATCCCTTTTGATGTTCCAAAAGCAAAAAGGTTACACAACTTTTTTTTTTGATACAAATTGTATTTAAAGTGATTCAAATTTTAACTTCTCGCTTCATTAAAATGACGTGATATTGCGTGACATAAGTAACATCATAATTCCCTTTGACACTGCGCTTGCGACTTTTTTTTTTTATTTATCTCAAATCCAGCATGTAATTTCAAATTAAATCTTAAAGTGTTCTTATATTTACTTACCACTGGGGTGAATTTAGCTCACTCTTTTATATATTTAGAAATTTTCATATGTCGAGCTTTCAAATATATTTCATCGTAGATATTTTTGTTTTAAAAAGCTGCTCATAAAACCCTGTTCATCCGAGTATTGCAACACATAACTCACCAAAAGGTGTAGAGGACGGAGGCTGTTGCAAACAGGACTGCTGGTTCTCTTCAGTTTTCATTCCTTCTCTCCTTCCCTCAGTGTGATCGCTAAAGACATAAAATTACACAATATCGAAGAAATCATTGCAGGACATTCAAACACCGAAGGAAACCACGAGAACACATAAGCCAAAGATGGAAAATTAAGCATCCGTTTTTTTCTTTCTTTTTGTTTTTTCATGCGGCACTGATGTATAGATAATAAATATTCAAAATACAATTTTCAAAAACTATTACATTGGACTAGGTTCAAGTCTTTAAATGCAGGAAAATTTAATGACAAAAATAACAAAAAAATATATATAAAGATATATTTATACATTTATAAAAGTCAACGAATCAAACTTGAACATCAAATATTAGCTTTCGATTCAAACATCTCAGTAGTTCAGCATGAGCCTCAGATTCCTCATTCAGCCCTTACACGCCTACGTTGTATACGCCACTTTTAAAATGTTAATTTTATTTTGAAGTCTACAGTGTTTAGGTTTTATTGAAAAACGAAAAAAAAATATATAAAAAAAATAGCATGCACAAAACGATTTTTATTTCTCCTTCATTTCTATTTTAAATGTTACTAAAACATGCGTATTACTTTAAATATTGAACTTAAATTCAGTTTAAACGTCATATAGGTTTTTAATGGCAACAAAAGTCTTAAATTTATTGTTTTTAAAGTCGTATTGTACCAGATATATTTTTGGTAAAAAAACAAACAAAAACAAAACAAAAGAAAACATAACATTCTAAGTAAAATCGAGTCTCTACATGTATATAAAAAATGCAACTTTGATTTTTTTTTTCAATATAATTTGTTTAGAAAGCGTATTCAGAACAACATAAAGGACTTAAAATAGTTTAGCAAATTTTTCAAACGCTAAAAACGAGATTAATTTAAATATCAGGTTTTGTCTGGACTATCAGACCGTCTGAAATTCCTTCTTATGATAATTCAAACCCCTATAATGGTTATTATAACACATTTTACTTGTAAAACATAGGAAAGAAATATTTGGGCCGTTGTTTCACAAAATAATCAGACTAAGCAAAGAAATTATGCAAATGTACTTAATCTGATTGGGGATTTTTGTTGTGTGGCTTCAATAAAATGATGAATTGATTGCCATTCAATAGGTTGTGAAAGCTTGAAATCCAGTTTTTTCCCCCAACCAGTCAATAAAACGTAGGTTTAATTCTGCCCATTTAGTAATTTAAATGAAACCCTTAACTTTACCGTTAAGTTAAGCATTGTTTGAGTAGTCAAAGTAATAATAATAATAATAATAATAATAAGAATAAGAAGAATAATTAATTTTATTTGAGCTATCCAACAGTTTCATTTAATTTTTTCCCTCAGTCATAAAAAAGTAGGTCAGTAGATTGACTGCATAAGATAAATGTGGACAAAATCCAGGATGAGGAATATATGAGAAATAACTGATAGAAGAAAAACAGTATAAATTTTCCGGACCTCATCCATTCTGTCTAAAAAAAATAAATAAATAAATAAAAAAAAATCAGCAACTATCATTTTATCCTGCACATTTACAGTGAAAAAAACAAGCAAACAAACAAACAAACAAAAAAACATCCCACCCAGAGCGCTTTGCTTTAGAAAAATAAAAGATTGACTCAAGTACAACTTTCTTTTCACCATGCTGCTTTCTCCGACAACCTGTTCCTGGATCTCGGAGTCTTACCTTGAGGTGAAACACACTCCTCCTGAAATCTCGGTGGGCAACATTTAAATCCAGCGAAACTTCCAGCTCGTGTGTGACTGAACAGACGCGGCTATATGGATCGTCCACATGAGCTACTTCACTGTTTGCTTACGGAAAAAATTCCAACATCATGATGCCCCGCAAATACGGTCTATTGTGTCTCCTGATTTCTCCGACAGCCGCGTCGCTCTGGGTTGTGGAGCAAAAAGGGAGCGGAGGGAGGAGATGGACAGAGACGGTGGGAGGGAGAAGGTGCGGAAGATGATGAGAGAAGATGAGCAATAATACGAGCCTATTGATAACTTGGTTGGGGAGGATCTTTTGAATATGTGTTTAGGGTTAGATCAATACTTATAAGGGCACAGTTAAGCAATAACTTTATATTGATATATACCCTCTTGTAGGCTATGACAAATAAATCTGTTGTGGCTTTGATAATATTCTGAATCGTCTTGATTCTGGGTTAAGCAGCAAAAGGGAAATAACTAACTGGTCTAAACAAAATAATACACAAACTGGCTTTACTTCACAATTTCTCTAAGCTTTCTGATTTCAGTGGATGGACATTTATATGTTTGGTGTTTTAAAAATATTATATAAAAAAATAAATAAATAAAAAATGAAACCACGGAATACAAATAGTAAAATGTTTTATTGCTCTTACTGTTATTTTTTTTAAACATGGTTTTGTCCTGCACCGAGCTATCGCCCTCTTGTGTCTAAAGAAGAAAGGTGCATTGATCATAAACCAAAACAGGGATAATAATAATAATAATAATAATAATAGTAATAATAATAATAATAATTAATAGAAATATGACACTATTGATAAAGGCTATGTTTAGTTACATACATTATTACTCTGGAGACTAAAAAAACTGAATAGAAAACAAATAGAAAACCCAACATTTACAATCTTCACATGACAAAACATGATGCTTTTGTGCTGATTTGTATTTTTTAATTGCAAGCACCTGCATGTTACATTCAAATACTGAATACTTAAAAAAAAACAAACAAAAAAACAAAAAACAAAACAAAAAAAAAACCAAACAAACGTGTTCCTGTACTATCTGGTTGTTGTGTTTTCCTGCTGAAAGGTTGACAGTTACAAGAAGAAGATTTAAAGGTACTGTCTCTGACTAAGCATCACCAATAGTTTATTTCAGGCGAGTTTGAAATCATCAACATTTCTAAAAGCTTAGCCTTTTTTTTTTAACATTCAAACATGCTAACGTAGGGGAAATCAAAGTGAATAAAATACAGTAGAAGATGGTTTAAAAAAACAACTACATGAATGTAGTCACTTTTTACTGTTTTAGTCACTGTTTTTTTTTTTTTTTTTTTTTTACACACAGTGTAAAATAATCGCAGTTCTTCAGTGTATGTAAATTGTTATGTTGTCTAAAAGTGTCACCTTCCCTCAAACAAAGAGCTGCTCCTCCTTCTCTGATTGGCTGCGTCTCAGCTTCAAACTAGACAGGATCTTCTGGGCTGGCGAGGTCAGGTTGTGCTCAGCAGAGTTGGTCCTCGGACACGGATGGTGAATGCGGTTCTGTCCAGCACTGTTCAAATTTACATTGTGATCAGCCCGACTCCATCTGGTCGTTTCTTGAGTGGACCTCTCTGTTGTACTGGATGATAATGCAGCTCCTGGTGATGTTGCCGTGGAATCCACTCCCAGCATGTACTGCGCAACCTCTCGGGGACTCAGTGGAACATTGACCGTACCCTCTGCTGTAGTGGTGACCCGGT